AGATGACAGACCCCTGGCAAACCTGACTAAAATGAGGAGAGAAAAAACAAAAATTAGTAAAATCAGGAATGAAAAATGGAGATAACAACAAGCACCATGGAAGTCCAGGACATCATCAGAGACTACTTTGAGAAACTATATGCAAATAAATTTGAAAATCTTAAAGAAACGGATGACATTAATCACCTGAATAGAGCTATAACACAAAATGAAATTGAAGAGTCTCCCTAAAAAGAAAAGTCCAGGACCTCATGGATTCTCTGCTAAATTCTATCAGACCTTTAAAGAAGAACTGATACCAACCCTCCTTAAACTGTTCCACGAAATAGAAAGGGAAGGAAAACTGCCAAACACATTTTATGAAGCCAGTGTTACACTTATCCCAAAACCAGGCAAAGACACCTCTAAAAAGGAGAACTATAGGCCAATCTCCTTAATGAACACTGATGCAAAAATCCTCAAGAAAATAATGGCAAACCAAATTCAACAACACATCAAAAAGATTATTCACCATGACCAAGTAGGCTTCATCCCAGGAATGCAGGGGTGGTTCAACATATGAAAATCAATAAACGTAATAAACCACATTAACAGAAGCAAAGACAAAAACCACTTGATCATCTCAATAGATGCAGAAAAAGCCTTTGATAAGATCCAACACCATTTCATGATAAAAGCTCTAAGAAAACTAGGAATAGAAGGAAAGTATCTCAACATTATAAAAGCTATATATAACAAACCTACAGCCAGCATTATACTTAATGGTGAAAAAATGAAACCATTCCCTCTAAAATCAGGAACCAGACAAGGATGCCCACTATCTCCACTCCTATTCAACATAGTACTGGAATTCCTAGCCAAAGCAATTAGGCAAGAAGAAGGAATAAAAGGAATACAAATAGGTAAAGAAACTGTCAAAATATCCCAACTTGCAGATGATATGATCCTATACCTTAAAGACCCAAAAAACACTACTCAAAAGCTCCTACACAATCAGTAGCTACAGCAAGGTAGCAGGATATAAAATCAACATAGAAAAATCATTAGCATTTCTATACACTAATAATGAACAAACTGAGAAAGAATATATGAAAACAATTCCATTTACAACAGCCTCAAAAAATCAAATACCTAGGTGTAAACCTAACAAAGGATGTGAAAGACCTCTACAAGGAAAACTATAAACTTCTGAATAAAGAGATTGAGGAAGACTATAGAAAGTGGAGAGATCCCCCATGCTCATGGATTGGTAGACTCAACATAGTAAAAATGTCAATACTCCCAAAAGTAATCTACATGTTTAATGAAATTATCATCAAAATCCCAATGACATCATCAAAGAGATTGAAAAATCTACCGTTAAATTTATATGGAAACACAAGAGGCCATGAATAGCCAAGGCAATACTCAGTCAAAAGAACAATGCTGGAGGTATCAAGATACTCGACTTCAAACTATATTACAAAACAATAACAATAAAAACAGCATGGTACTGGCACAAAAACAGACATGAAGACCAGTGGAACAGAATAAAGGACCCGGATATGAAGCCACACAACTATAACCAACCTATCTTTGACAAAGGCGCTAAAAATATACGATGGAGAACAGTCAGCCTCTTCAACAAAAACTGCTGGGAAAACTGGTTAGCAGTCTGCAAAAAACTGAAACTAGATCCATGTTTATCACCCTATACCAATATTAACTGTAAATGGATCAAGTATCTTAATATCAGACCACAAACTCTAAAGGTGGTACAAGAAAGAGTAGGAAATACTTTGGAACTAATAGGTATAGGCAAGAACTTTCTCAATGGAATGACAGCAGCTCAGCAACTAAGAGGTAGGATAGATAAATGGGACTTCATAAAACTAAAAAAAGCTTCTGCTCAACAAAAGAAATGGTCTCTAAACTGAAGAGACCAACACACTGAGTGGAAGAAAATATTTGCCAGCTACACATCAGACAAAGGACTGATAACCAGAATATATAGGGAACTCAAAAAACTAAGTTCTCCCAAAATTAATGAACCAATAAAGAAATGGGCAAGTGAACTAAACAGAACTTTCTCAAAAGAAGAAATTCAAATGGCCAAAAAACACATGAAAAAATGCTCACCATCCCTGGCAATAAAGGAAATGCAAATTAAAACCACACTAATATTCCACTTCACCCCTGTTAGAATAGCCACCATCAGCAACACCACTAACAACAGGTATTGGTGAGGATGTGGGGAAAAAGCAACCCTCTTACACTGCTGGTGGGAATGTAAACTAGTACAACCACTCTGGAAAAAAATTTGGAGGCTTCTTAAAAATCTAAACATAGATCTACCATTTGATCCAGCAATACCACTCTTGGGGATATACACAAAAGAATGTGACTCAGGTTACTCCAGAGGTACCTGCACACCCATGTTTATTGCAGCACTATTCACAGTAGCCAAGTTATGGAAACAGCCAAGATGCCCCTCTACTGATGAATGGATCAAGAAATTGTGGGATCTGTACACAATGGAATTTTATGCAGCCATGAAGAACGAAATGTTATCATTCACAGGTAAATGGATGGAACTGGAAAACATTATTCTGAGTGAGGTTAGCCTGGCCCAAAAGACCAAAAAGCATATGTTCTCCCTAATATGCGGACATTAGATCAAGGGAAAATATAATAAGGGGATTGGACTTTGATCACATGATAAAGCAAGAGCATACAAGGAAGGTGTGAGGATAGGTAACACACCCAAAAAGTAGATAGCATTTGTTGCCTTCAACACAGAAAAACTAAAGCAGATACTTTAAAGCAACTGAGCCTAATAGGAGAAGGGGACCAGGAACTAGACAAAAGGTGAGGTCAAAAAGAATTAACCTAGAAGGTAACACACATGCACAGGAAATTAATGTGAGTCAACTCCCTGTATAGCTATCCTTATCTCAACCAGCAAAAACCCTTGGTCCTTCCTATTATTGCTTATACTCTCTCTTCAACAAAATTAGAGATAAGGGCAAAATAGTTTCTGCCTGATAGTGAGGGGTTAAGAGGGGGAAAGTGGAGGTGTGGAGGGGGTGTGAAGGGGGAAGAAATGACCCAAACATTGTATGCACATATGAATTTAAAAAAATGAATGTATAATGACATATGTTTCTTAGTAGGCCTCATCATAGTCTGTCTTGTGTTGTTATAAAAATATAGTTACTGGGTAATTTAGAAATAATAGAATTTTATTTGGCTCATGGTTCTGGAGGTTGGGAAGTCCAAGATCCAGAGGCCACATCTCTTGAGGGCGAGTTGCTGCGCTGTAACATGGTGGAAGGCATCATATGGCAAGAGAGTACACTTGCAAAAGAGCTGAACTTACTTTAATAACAGACTGATTCTCATGATAACTAATCCACTTCAGAGATAATGACATTAATCCATTCATGAGAGTAGAGCCCTCAAGACCTAATCACCTCTTATGAGCCCTACTTCCCAACACTGTTATATTGGGGATCAAGTTTCCAACACATGGGGGATGTTACAAGCCACAATAGCTTCTGTCATTAAGACTGATGTTTGAGAGTACATTGTTGGATTCTGTGTGAACAGAAAGTTGTAACTTATAGCTTACCAGATGTTGGCATACTTGCATCACAACAGGGAGTATGATTTTACATTTAGTACTGCAGTTCAACTGCCATTATCAGACTGCATTTTCATATTGAATAACAGAAATTTTATGCTGGTTATATTTAATGAAATTTTAATAAGGTTGTTTTTTGACGTTATTATTCAAATAATGGGTTCTGAATTGCTTTTCTCTGAATATAATTTGCATTAAAGAGGAAACCAATTTGACTTAGCTCTTTGAAGTTTATCAACTTTCTGGTTAGCTTTAAAAAGACAAAGATAGAAATTCAGTTTCTTCTTTGCAAGTCAGTAAATGGAAAAGAAACACATTTATTAAGATCTGTAGAAGTAATGGTAGCAGACTGCTGATGGTTTCAGTTAATGAAATGACTCTCTTCAGCTATTAAGAGTTGCACAATTAAAAATATATATACAAACTGCACACATCACAGATTATAAGGGATACCTCTGTGTTCTCTTTTCTTATTGAGCCTTAAGGCTGATAAATTAACAACTGAGAAATTTAAGAGATGCACATTACTGCAATTCTTGATCATCGATGCCCCAAATTAAGTGGTCACCTCTTGAGAAAGCACATTTCGGTGCTGGTAGCATTCCTCTGACTCATCCTTTGCTAAAATTGTGGTTGTGAGTCCAAGACAGTTTCCATCAATAGCATGTCTTTCAAAAGATAAACTCACTTGACCAAGCAAAACAAGTTACTGGCGATGCTTTTTGTGGTGATTTTCTCATAGCTGCCTAGCTGATGAAGTTTAATGCGGGGAACATGAATGCAGAAGCAGCGGGAAGTCCTGCTTTTTGAGAAACGCTGCCTTACAAATTCCTAGGGACAGCAGAAAAAAATCGCGGAGTTGTGATGGGGAAGAGGGTGCCGGTCCTCCGGGTCTTTTATGTCCACATTTGGCGTAGAAATAGGTGCTTTAACTTTCTTTCTGCTACTTTGCCTTCCTAGTGACCTTATTTTTCCTCCCACATGTGCCCTCTGAGCTCCCTCCAGTTACAAATATTCCCGATTTTAAAAATAAGACCCAGAAAACATGCGCAAACCCACGTGCCCTAGAAACTAACAGCGCGCTTAAGAGTTTTGGTTCGTGAGTTTTCTCTTCATATGGTTTGAAAACAACAGCATTCAATTACAATTGGAAAAAAAAACAAACAAAAACCATCACTCTGATCCCGAGGACCTCACTGCCCCCTGTACCTTCCCGCATGCGCAGTAGCCTCGCCGAACCCCCCCCCTCCCCCAGGGTCGCTGTCGCACCGTGACGCAAGGCGCAGGCTCCACCGACGCAGCGCGCGCCCCCTGAGGCCCCGCCCAGGGCCGCGCAGGCGCACCTCGCTCAGACCCACAATCCTCTGCGCCTTCGGCAGTTCGGGAGGACGCTAACGCTAACCCTATCTGCTGGGGTCCCAGCTGCCTGGTGACATGCTGCAGAAACCCAGGAGCCGAGGTCGCCCTAGCGCTCTATCCCAGGTGGACAGGGATTGGGCCCGCAGCGAAGACACCTCGAGAGATGGCGCCACCGCCGAGGAGGAAGTCCCGAGCACGTCCAGCGGGCCGGGCACCTCGTTGCTCAGCGGCCGCCGGTCCTTGACCGCCCCCGCCGTGGGGCCGCGGACCCAGAAGCAGTTGGAGCTGAAGGTGGCGGAGCTGGTGCAATTCCTACTGATCAAGGACCAGAAAAAGATCCCGATTAAGCGGGCCGACATCGTGAAGCACGTGATCGGGGACTACAAGGATGTGTTCCCGGACCTGCTGAAGCTGGCCGCCGAGCGCCTGCAGTACGTGTTCGGGTACAAGCTGGTTGAACTTGAGCCCAAGAGCAACACCTACATCCTGATCAACGCACTGGAGCCGGTGGAGGAGGATGCCGAGGTGAGGGGCGACCAGGGCACGCCCACCACGGGCCTCCTGATGATCGTGCTGGGGCTCATCTTCATGAAGGGTAACACCATCACTGAGACCGAGGTGTGGGACTTCCTGCGGCGCCTGGGGGTCTACCCCACCAAGAAGCACCTGATCTTCGGGGACCCCAAGAAACTCATCACCGAGGACTTCGTGCGACAGCGGTACCTGGAGTACCGGCGCATCCCGCACACCGATCCTGTGGACTATGAGTTGCAGTGGGGCCCGCGCACCCACCTGGAAACGAGCAAGATGAAAGTGCTCAAGTTCGTGGCCAAGGTGCACAACCAAGACCCCAAGGACTGGCCGGCGCAGTACTGCGAGGCGCTGGCGGAGGAGGAGAGCCGGGCCCGGCCTCCTCCGCCTCCTCCTCCTCCTGCTGCTGCTGCTGCTGCTGAAGTCTGACCCGGGTTCCCAGGCACCCGAAGGCCCTGGGATGGGCGGCCCAGCCTTTTGGAACGGAGCTACCTCTGCCAGGACGAAGTGTTTGTGCTTTAGAACACGTTGCAAAGTTTGGTTCTTTTAGCAGTGCTAACTTGGTTCCAGATTTTCATTTATAAACAGATCAAAAGAACTTTTTTTTTTTGCCTATTTTAACTGTCCTTTTTTTTTTTTCTCTTTTTTGTACCATGATGATTTTGCCAGTTTTATAACACTAGTTGGAAGCCTCCTGTGGTTTTGAACAGATATTTAAGAAAGAACACATAAGTAAATTGCTTTGGTGCCAAAAATAATAATAATACAGAGTGTTACCTGGTCTCTTTACTCCAGTTTGTAAGGGAAAATAAAAGTCTTTGTAAAATTAAAAATAATATAACTGTCTATATGTTTATTACCTTAATACCACTGTTTTGCTTTTTTATATTTCTTACATATACATACAAACTTTGTGCGTGGTTCAAAGCAGTGTACATAGTGTATTTTCTTTGAGTAACAGTTTTTATAGTTGTAGGTTTTTTTTAATTACTCAGCTCTGTTGCTGACCTTGGTTTCATTTAGTTTTTTCATTTTCTGTAAGTCTAGTTATGGTAAATACTGTGTTTTTGAGGCAGTTAATCATTATTCATGTATTAAATCCAGGACTTTTTTTACTTTAAAAATTGTCCATATTAGGGCTGGTGGAGTGGCTTGCCTAACAAGCATGAGGCCCTAAGTTTAAACCCGAGTGCAGCCAAAAAAAAAAAAAAATTCATATTGAAGAAATTTCATAACTCAAAATAAGCATCTCAAAAATAAAATTTTTTTGGTACCTATTACTAAAGTGAACGGTGGGTTTTTTTGTTTTGCTGTGTAGCCCAGGCTGGTCTTGAACACTTGATCTCCCTTCATCAGCCTCCTGAGTGCTGGAATTACAGACATGCACCACTACACCTGGTTCATAAATAATGTTTTGTAAGAGTTAGTGTGTATAGGTTGTAAAATGATACAAAATACATTTCTCACTGGTTCCCCAAAAAGTTTATGAAACAGTGTCATAACGATTAGTCACCATGCTTTTTTGGAAATCACACTGCCTGTGCTCAGGTCCTAGCCCTACCCTGTGATTTCAGGTTCACTCCTTAGTGCTTATACAGACATTTCTTCACCTGTAAGATGGGCCGATGACACCTGTATCATGTATGCCAGTGTGGCAAGTAGATAGGGAAGTTTATGTAAAGTTCTTGGCAAAGAGCTTGGTGTAGAGATTTTCAGTTACTTTATGCGAGAACTTAGAGAATTTAGTCAGCAAGCACTGCTGTTAAAAATGTTAGTCTCACTAGCTCGCTTCGCACTTCCCATAGACACTGGCTTCATGGACTCTGCTTAATAAAAAGTTTCTATTAAGAACAAAGGGTTATCCTCAGCTGGGCCAGGGCAAGAATTCCACTAGATGTCCTGGTTCCAGAGCTGATAACCAAAAACAGTTATTGCTTCTCTGAAACTTCTTTGTTTCCAAAGCCTCCCCACCCCCAAAACCTGGCCCCATTCCAATTAGCCAACCACATAGACTATAAGCCCAAAACCTGCCCAATCCAGGTGCAGGAGAGGGACAGCATGGCATCAGATAAAACTCCTGCAGACCTCCCACCCAGTGTACATACCTCCCAGACTCCCTACTGTGCACCCTTCTGCAGAAGTACATTTTGCCTTGCCTGTTGCCTTCTGAGTAGTGTCTCATGACAAGACACCCCAATATCTTAAAGATATTTCTAACACTTTATTGCCCTTTTTAGTGTGATTTTTTAATTCTCTTTGGTCTGGAGTTACTTTTTGTTGTTTTCTGTAATTACCTTATTCTAAATCATTCTTAGAAGAGCAGTTACTAAAGTTATGACCATATTTTTTTGTTTTGTTTTGGTGGGACTGGGGTTTGAATTCAGGAATTCACACTTGAAAAGCAGGCACTTTACTGCTTGAGCCACACCTCCAGTCCATTTTTGCTCTGGTTATTTTGGAGATGGGGGGAGGGTCTCCAGAACTATTTGGACTGGCCTTGAACCTTGATCCTATCTCAGCCTCCCAAGTAACTAGGATTACAGGTGTGAGCCACCAGTATCCGGCTTCACCTTATTCTTCTGGTCTAATCCACTGAGTGGTTTTATGGAAAAACAACATGATAGTGAGTACAGCCCACACAGAACAGTAGGAATAGGGAAGTTAAACATAAGATCTCCCCTGAGTTTTGAGAGCATTGTAATATGGCATAGTGAAATGATGGGTTTTGGGGTCACCTGAACATCTGAATTTGAATTATGGCTCCTGCCATATTGTCAGCATGGTGATTTTGGAAGCTCTTGGTTTCAATTTCTTTGTAAAATAGAAAAAATAATTATAATAGCTATATGGGTTAAATGAACCAGAAGAAAAAAGAGCTCAGTCTCGTATTTCTCCATAACTAGCCAAATTCTGTTCACACACACAGACTCAGTACATTTATTCGGTAAGTGAATAAGTGTAATTGTTTTGAGGGAAGTTGCTGCAAATTAACCATTAAATGAGGGAAATACTTTCACTCAGAAAAAAGATCTCCAGCACTGGACCAAATACCATTTGGAAGTCTGGTGTCTATGAAGTTAAAGTGGGATTTGCTTTTATTTCACCCATGGGCTATGGTTTGTTCTTGAACTCATTTCTCTTTGGCCTGCATTTTCTTTCAGTATATAAATAACCTCCTGCCCACTCTGGTTCCCTTACCTCACTGACTGCCTTCTGATGTACCTTAATACTGTGAGGTGAAAGTTACTATCTAGCACAGCACCCTCAGGTATAATGGTAATTATATCCCAGTTTCCTCAGAGATGTTAACAACTTAACACCAACAAGTTGTTTTATTTGAGGTGCCAAAATGCATAGCATTAGAGAGCCGATCAGGCCCTTCTCTCTTTTCCTTCTCCCCCTTTCCAGTGTGACAAGAGTCTGAGGATACTACCCCTTGTATATCTTTATAATTTTACTATATGTGTGGACATACTAAAAAATACACGGTTTTATTTTGTGGACTTTCATGATTTATATAAGTAACATGTCCTTTCATAACTTACTGTTTTCACTCACCACTTTTTTTGTGTGTGTGTAATTTTTGCCATGTAGATGCATCTAGAAAGGATTGTTCTTTAATGGGAAAAAGTAACACTGTTTATTCCTTCCCTAAAGGCTAGACAGCCTCTTTCCATCTTTTTGCTGTTTACAGGCAATGTACAGGGTTTCCTTAGGCACCCACGTGGGAGAGAGTTCCAGTGAGAAATAAATAATGGCAATTGGGCCACTAACAAATGACTTTTGAGCTTGTATCAAGTTATATTCCCCCCAAAACATTATATATATAAGGTTATGCTTAGCAGTCCTCCCCTACCGAGAAGCTCTCGTGAACACTTGACCTTTACAGCCATTCTGGTGGGTGTGTGGTGACACTTGACTGTGACATTAACTTGTACATCTTGCTTACTTTCCTGCCTTTTTCTCTCTCTTTGACAATCAGATTTCATATCTGTTAGGCACTTTCTTATTTTTACTGATTTGTAAGAGCACTGTATGTTCTGGGTATTAATTTATTGCTGTCTTCAGTTGTGACTATCTTCTACATTTTTACTTTTGTCAAGCAGATTATTTGACTTTGGAATCACAATCAGCAGTATTTTAGGGCTCCCCTTTTTTTTGGTACAGTGCTTTGAAAATTCATCCCTAATCCTGATAAAGATATTTCAAAATACCTTTTTTCTAATTCTATTAATTATAAAAATATTTTCCTTTTTTTTGTAAGCATTCGAGGTTTTGGTTTCCACATTTCTGTTTTTACTGTTTCTGTGCACGATGTGAGGTACGGCTGTCATCTTTGTACTCTTCCTATATGGACAGCCTATCACCAGCATTTCATTATTCATCTGTTCCACGGTGCTGGCCAGGGATGAGCAGTTGTATTGCTGTTTGCCAATACCACGCTGCAATTCCAGAGCATCACAATACAAACTCAAGTCATTTGCCAATTCTTAACTGTTTTTATAGCATCTTCCCTTGAAATGCAGCAGTGACAGTAGACCTCCAGTATAGTACTGATTGCTTTCTGATTTTAAAGGGAATAATTTTTAACTTTTGCCACTAAGTGTGATGTCTATGTTCTTATTTTTTTTCTCTTTGTTATCTTTAATTGGGTTTTATTTTCTTCACATTCCTAGCTTACTTAAAGATGTTTAGACAGGTGAATGGCTTAAAATTTGTCATGCCCATTATTCACCTGCTAATTTGATTAAGGTTTTCTGTTTACTCTGGTAGATTTTTCTACCATTCTTGCATTCTTGGCACAATCACTTCTTGTTGTTGATGAGTTTTTAAAAAAATATTGCTTTTGCCCAAAACTTATAATTTTGGTATCTCTTGACATAAAGGGGATTAGACTAACTGTCTTATATTGTCACTATTGGTTTTTGAGGTTTTGCTAATTTATTTAGAAATAATCTCAAACTGACAGAAAATTCCCAAGTATGGTGCAGAGATTTTTGTTTTCTGAAGTATTTGAGCTCATGTAGTTGTCATGTTTCTTTAGTCTCTCTCAGTCTGCAAACAGTTCCTCAGTCTCCTTGACCCCATCGTCTTGATACTTGAAGAATCCAGGCTTTTTTTAAAGAACATTCCTTGGCTGGGGGCTGACTGCTGTGTCTTCATGATCAACTGTGAAATATGCATCTTTAACAGGACTATCACAGAAGCAATGTTGTGTTGTCTTTGAGTCCTATCAGGTGACACAAAATTTGAGTTTGTCCTGTTATTTTGTAAATCTAATCACTTTAGGTAAAGCAGCTTTTCTACCATGAGTCTCTGCTGGAGTTTTCATTTTCAATTTTATGATAAAAGAGCAACTTGTGTGGCGATATTTTGAAATGTATTAAATTGTGCATAGCAAGAAGTTTCATCATGACACCTCCATACACACAGATAATGTACTTAGATCAGGTTCACCCTCCGTTGCTCTTTCCATCTCCCCTCTCCTCTCCCCTCTTCCCTTCCTTTCCACCTCCCCACCATTGCTTTCCTGACTTTGGTTGTCTTGTTTTGTTTCCCCTTGCTTCCACATAGGAAAGAAGACATGATCCCTGTCTTTCTGGATCTGCCTTATTTTATTTAAAATGATGCTCTCCAGTTCCATCCATTTTCCAACAATTGACACAGTATCATTCTTCTGCTCCCCCCCGCAAGTTCTGCCCTCTTCTTCTCCTATTTTATTGAAGAGAAAACATAAGAGATAATAAGAAAGACATAGCGTTTTTGCTAGTCTGGGATAAAGATACCTATACAGAGAGATTCCTAGCGT